TTTTATTAAAAGGAATAATTTTGGTTCCATAACATTTTCAGATATTTCCAGTTGTTTTCGAGATATTTGGAATTATCTGAGAATAAAATTTTCAACACTTTTGTTCCATCTTCCAATCAACAAAATGAAAAAATATTTCATGATTCAGTGGAAGTCGATGAGCTTCATCAATCGATAATCTTTGTTTTTCAATATATCTTCATAGTACCCTATGGGTCGTTAACATTTTTTTTTCATTTTTCACTTTATTTCCTGTACTATTGGGTTTACAGAAAAAATTATGAGAAATAATTTGTAGGAAATGTTCCAGTGGATAACTTTGCACTTCTGATAATTTTCGATTTTTCCATTTGTTTTCGATATATATTGAATTGAAAGAATTTCAAATTTTGATGTTTTGATTTTAATTTGTTTTTCCATTTTTCGATGGATGCACGAAAAAATGGTTGAGGTTGAATAATAATTTGTTGCGTCATCATAGAGGCATACGGTGCATTTTTCAAATTTGGATTTAGTCTATTGGTTCAGGAGATATGTCGTTTCAAAGCGAACCGTGTTTTTCGGAAAATCTCCTTGAAAAACCCACTTGGAATTTCTCGACCCTGCTCAATTTCAATAGGCTTCGTCTCTTCCTGATAGTTATTTTTCACAAAAAATGAAATCGATCGGACCAGTTTTGCGATTTGTAGAGTGGTCGCAAGAAACTTTCGGTGAAAAATCGAAAAAACCCGGAAAAACCACCTTAGAGTTTTCCGATTTCCTTCATATTTTAATGACATAATATTGTTTTGAGTAAAATAAGATGGCAAAATTTCAAGTCGATATGTCAAAGGGTTCCGGAGATATATCGATTTATGATTAACACAGAGTACAGACAGACAGACAGACAGACCACACACAAAAACCAAAGTTGCTCAAAATTCGATGGGGATCATTTTCTCCAAAGTAACTATACCTCTATCCCGCTTAGTTTCCGAGATAGCATTTTTGGCAAGGCCGTAGTATACTCCACTATGTATAGCGTCGTATAACAAGAAATCAAATTCTCACTTATCTTTGGACGTTGCGAGAACGATTCTGCTTCCGTTTTCAACCTAAAAAATGGATATTTGTATAGCAAATTCGTATTCGTCTTGACACTCCTTGGTGACGTTGTCAATCAAAAACGCAGTTTCATATTGGGGCAAATCATCTGATTTGTCCTTACTACAAGTATATTGAAATAATATTCATATTTTCATTTCATAGAAACGAGGAGAGAAAATCCGAAAAAATCTAGTATAATGAATAATTTATTCACCCTGTAGATGAACCTAGAAAGCCTGGGAGATGAAAATCATCCAGCTTGGGTCCCATCCCAGTATAATATATGGGTCATCATGCAATATCTAGCCTAAACATACCCTGAAACTGTTGGATTCTGTAAAAAAAAGGGCAATTCGTCTCGTGGGTGATGCCTCACTCACAAACTAACTCACTTCTCTGGAACACCGTAGAAAAGTTGGCGATCTGGCTCTATTTTATAGATATTTTCATGGAGGATGCTCTTCTGAAATATCAAGAATTGTACCTCCCTTGGCAGTCCCCGCGAGATTAACCTGTCGAGTTGAGGCTTCGCACCCCTTCGTGGTCACTTTGGAGACCTGCAGAACACCCCTTTCCAAAGACTCGTTTATCCAACGAACAGCGAGGCTCTGGAACACATTGCCAAGAGAGGTGTTTCCCGAGGCATATAACCTCCAGAAATTCAAGAAGAACACCAATTTCTACTTTATTTTCCTTGGTTTTCACGATGCTCTCTGAACATTACAGTATACCTCTTTTTGTGGGGACCAGAATATAAAAAAACTTGGGGTCTTCTTGAGTTGAGGGTGCTTTTTCAGGAGTAGTCATTTGGGTTTGACGAAAGCGTGATTCGAAAAAGAATCCACGCAGCATAACTGAGATCAGTATTGGCTGTATGAAAAGATCTGGGACACCTAGGATTCCTCTGCAATGAGAAAAATTTGGTTCGAGAATTTATTTTCATCCAGAAATATCCTACTAACAATCACCTAGTAGCCATAAAAGTCAACTTGTCACCGACATTAGTGACATTCAACATTAATTTGTCAAAACAAGAAAATAAATTCCTTATTTTAGAAAACAGGAATGAGAAGCGGTTAATGTTAAGATGGTAATCCGTTAACGTGAACTCTCCGATTGATTCCATATTCTTGATTTGAATGCAGTTTCCGTATATATATATAGTGCTATAACAGTGAAAGGAATTGGTGTATGTTTGGTTGCATATACTACAATCATGCAATACCGACAAGATCATTATTGAGGGTCATTTAACGATCAATTTCATAAACATCAAACATATTCGTTAATGAGAAAAATGATTATTATGTTACCAAGGACTAAAAACTGTTTATTATAGTCGGGCCTCCGGAATTGATAACCGAGGCTACTAATCAGGCGAGGCAATACAGTTTTTCGTCGATTCTTTGAGATTGTCTCTCCTTGTTTCATTGAATGAAAATATGAGTTTTATCACAATACCTATATGTGTAGTGTTAGCATCTAGCAACTAAAGATGCGCTACTGCTCAGTGGAATGTGCTTAGATCAGAGCCTATGACAGACGTGTGTGAAGACTGGCCCATACACTGTTCGGCAGGCAGCCGCGTTCAGAGCGAGTGTAACCCTTGTCCATGTCATTTGTGCTCGTGTTTATTGAATTATGACCATAATATAACATGTAGTATGAGTATATCAGATGATTTGCCCCAAATTGTCACTGCGTCTTAAGACTTTGTTTGAAAAAAATTTGTAGAACTGGAGAAATGGTACCTATATCGAAAAGATTACAAAATTTTTACTCATCTTTGCCTTTAGACGTCACTGGAACGAATCTACTTCCATTTGGAAAACAGACAATTATTATTCTTGTAATGTGTCTCCTCCTGTTCACCTCCTGGAGCTTCTTAGAGGCAACGTTTTTTTAATAATTTGTCTTCACTACAAGCATACTGAAATCTTAAATATTTCAGTGCAATGAATATTCCACCTTCTGATATTTTACAACTTAAGATATCTGATACATCAAACTCTTCCTATCGAATCTAACATCATACTTTATTCGAATAATAGTATATTACACACCGAGGTGGGGAGTGATTCATTCCTGGCGTGAGATAAGTTAGTTAACCGAGACGCTATAGAGGTTAGCTATAATCTCGAGACAGGAATGAAACCTTCTACCGAGGTTTGTATACTATTTTATTTACAGCCATATATCATATTTCGATCAAAATTATTAATTAATAAATAAATTAAAATATTCTAAATCCACCGGATATGACCAGATCTCAAACAATCTTCATGCATGGAAGAACTAGTCTACCCCCTGACATATCTGATAAATCTTTCCGTGGAACAAGGAGTGTTCCCTGAAAAATTAAAATCTGCAATCGTTACCCCAATCTTCAAAAAAGGAGACTCAAATAGCTATGAGAACTATTGAGGAGTGAGTCTCCTTTCTAGTATATCCAAGTTATACGAACTGAATATTAAAAATCAGTTAATATCATTTTTCCTTAGAAATGAACTTCTTTCGACAAACCAACATGGTTTCATGCAAGATAAAAGCACGGAAACAGCTCTGTATGATTTCATAGAAAACGTAGTAACAGCCTTGGATAATAAACTACAAATCTGTGGTTTGTTCATCGATTTTTCCAGGGCATTTGACTGTGTTGATCACTATGTGCTGATCCAGAAATTGCATCGCTATGGGGTCCGTGGAACAAAGAACAAAGAGTGATAATCCAAGGTGTTCACAGTCAGTCATTGGCGTGCAAACAAGGAGTTCCTCAGGGATCCATACTCGGACCATTACTTTTTCTTATTTATGCGAACGACTCGATACTATATCTAAATAGTCTTTCGAAGGTACATATAGTTGCATATGCAGACGATACAAATGTTCTGGTCAATGATCATAATAAATCAGCACTTGTAGAAACAACAGAATCCATATATGAGTGAATAATGCAATGGGCTGATAAAAATCACTTAGCACTGAATATCAACAAAACAGCATTAGTAAAATTCTCTAATGCATAACACAACTGAAACTCTGAAAATATATGAAGATAACCAAATAGAGGTGACATCCAACCCAGAAACAAAAATGCTAGGTCTAATTATAGATCATAAGCTCAATTGGAGTCCTCATATAGATTCATTATGTGATAAACTACGAAAGAACTGTTATGCACTGAGATATATGTAGAATCATTGTGGAATAGAAGTCCTGCTAAATCTGAATTATGCAACTATTGGCTGTCACCTGCGCTATGGAATCCTAAATTGGGGTATGAGCTCTTCTGTTGAAAGAGTATTCATTCTACAAAAACGCGCGGTCAGAATAATTGCTAATTTAGGATGGCGACAATCATGCCGAAACTCATTTAGAGAGCTGGAAATACTCACAGTTGCTGGTCTGTATATATATGAGATATGTCTCTACGTTTATAAGAATAGAGATAAATTTAGGGCAAACCAACAAGACCACCCTTATCCAACGAGAGCAAGAGGTTTGCAGATAGCAAACCCTCACCGAACCTCCCTTTATCAGAGGAGTCACCTCTAACTTGGACCCAAACTATTAAACAAGCTAGATGTTTCTATCAAGGATTCAAAGAATATCTCCATATTCAAAAGACAATTAAAAAAATATCTCATAGAAAGAATCTGCTACACCGTTGACGAGTTTTAGTAACTCACGATAATCAATACATCACCCATCTCTATATGTCCAAATTAATAGGTGTCAAGTTTTGTCGTTTTATATAAAATGTTTGTTTTTTTTCTATATATATATTCATCTCCTACTCTCTTATTTATACACAGACGTATTCCTTGTTACTGTACGTAAATATTTATTGTAACGCTTTCATACGGTTTAACAAGTGAAATAAATAAATATTATTATTATTATTATTATTATTATCAATGAATCTCTGTTTCGTTCTGAACATATCTGGAATATAACATAATTGAGGGCAGGAAGTGAGGGTGAGAAGTAGAGGTGTGTAATATGACACTTCCCAACCTTCAACGACGTTAGTAATGACGACATTACATATATGGTTGTAAATAAAATTGTATGAAATATCGAAATGTGTACCTATCTCACAATATTTCACCATTTCATCTTGATTCAAAAATACTGCCTCCACTACCCTCTAATATTCTCAAACAATCTAAACGACCCTCTTCTGCTGCACGATGGAAAGGAGTTTTGCCGTAAATATCCTGGATATTAACATCACCTCCGCTATCCACTAATATCCTCAAACAATCCGAATGACCCTCTCCTGCTGCCACATGGAGAGGAGTTTTACCTTCGTTATCCTGGATATTAACATCACCTCCACTATTCACTAAGATTTTCAAACAATTCAAATAACCATATTCTGCTGTCTCATGGAGAAGGGTTTCCCCGTTGTATTTGCGAATATTAACGTCACCCCCATTATCCACTAAGATTTGCAAACAACACAAATCATCATGTAGTGCTGCCACATGGAGAGGGGTATCTCCAAAACGTGTTTCCAGAACATTTACTCTGGCTCCTTTTTCCAACAAATGATTCAGTATATCTAGATCGCCCACGTATACTGCCCAGAACAGAGCAGTCCACCCTCTACAATTCATTTCGTGAACATTAGCACCCCTTCTCGTCAGTTCTTCGACCATTTCGAAATTTCTATTTTGCACAGCCCTTTGCAGAGGAGTGGTTTCAGCAGTTTTGGTATTTACATCAGCCCCATTTTCGATGAAATAAGAAAAAAGCTGTAGGGAATTTTCTTCCACACTCAAGTGTAATGGGGTAAAACCATCGATATCTTCAACATTGATTCTGGCCCCTCTACTGACAAGATATTTTACCAATTCTATTTTGCACTCTTCAGCTGCATAATGTAGGACTGTACGACCATGTTTATCTCTTTGGTTCACATCTGCTCCCTTGTATAATAAGAACTCTATTATTTCTTGAAATTGAAGTGCTTCTGCTAATATAGTTTTACCATCTAAAGGCATGTCAGGAAATGTTGAGGCAGTAAGGTTTTCGAGAACAGATTTATCTTGACTCTTCTCTAGTATTAGTTCCAAGATATTTTTGCGGCCTTCTCTTGCTAGAAGGTTTATGTTCTTGGATTCATGCCAAATTATAAGGTCAATTGTAGAACCGCAGATTTCAAAAAGCTTCTCTGTGATTTGAGAGTATTCGTTGGTGAGTATGCCTTCGAAAAAAGCTCTGATCATTGAAAATTCCATGTTTGTAAACACATTTCCAAAAAGAAACCTCAGAAATTCATTGCGTTCTGCAGTTTCTTTCAGTTGTGCCCACATTGCTTTAGCCAAAAAATATTCAGCGTATGTATGATGAACGAACGATAACTTGTCTCCAGTTTCTTGTAACATTCCCATTCCGATGATAGTTTCTTTGGAGCTATTGTTAACATGTTTGGAAACATTCATCAATGAATATTGGTGATCATTGAGTAATACTCGAGCAGCAAGTTTTTGGTGCTCATTCATATCATCTTCATAGTATTTCGAAATGATCTCCTCCGCTTTCACATTTCCTTGAGATTTGCATTTTTCTGCGATGAAGATTTCCCGTCTTTTCTTCACAAACATATCGTACAATTTAGTTATGTTGATTTCATTTGGAAATTCCATTGTCTCATCTTCTGAAAGTAAAAAATTTTCACAACACATCCACTCGTATTTCTTGCCATCCGAGCCTTGGAATATTTCCGCAATCATTTTGGTCTGAAGTGGAATGCCTATGAAATTCCAATATTTCCAATAGCGACGAATTTTCAGCGAATCTAACAGTTTGTTCATTAATGTTTTTGCATACATCTCACATTTAGTTATCTTTTTATGATCATCTATTCTGAGGTTCTTCTTCCAGTATTTCATGAGGAAATCAGTTTGTTCCGATTCTGAGTATGGGAGTAATCGATATGATTTAGTATCCAGAAAAGATTCCAATTTCTTCGTCAAATGAGGACGAGTTGTAACAAATATTTTCAAAACATTTCTACGTTCAGACGTTTGAAGCATGAAATTTAGGACTAGACTAGTGTAGTCCGGACTTATTTCATCTACAGCATCGACCATCAGGACGATGTTGTTTGTATTTGAGAAAATATTCTGTTCTAAACTATTTTTGAAATAATTTTTATCTTTCGACTGTAGTATATCTTCTAAATTGACTGATTGTTTACTCGATGCTTGAAATTCTTTGAATATGCTGGTAAACATATTCAGATCAACTCTTATGAGGAAGGAACTGGGATATGTTTTCTTAATCAAACACCCAAGCTTAGTAAGGATTGTAGTTTTTCCCATTCCTGCTCCATCCGAAATCAGAACAAATTTTCCAGGTTGACCAATGAAATTGCAAATATCTTGTTCCGTGAACACCATTTTTTCGAGTTTGAATTTTCTCTCTATGTAATAATGCTCAATTTCACCCAAGTCTCTAATGGCTGTACCTATTTGAATAGTTTCACCATAAATCAAGTCAATAATAGTCTCCTGGTCTATTATTGAATCAATATTTTCCACTGAATTATTGATGAGCTCTTTAATAGGCAGATATGTTCCTTGTAAATTAACTTCTTTTGACAATAGGGTAGTTTGGCATGCTTCTGTTAGATCAGTAAATTTTATTTCATCCTGAATTGAATCATCCTGGATTGGGACTTTCGACAAAATTATGACTTTCTTGTATTGTTGTTTATTCAATATATCATTTATACGGGATTGAATTTTACGGAATTGATCAGAGTTTCTGAGGGAAATGACAAGTATGCAGTATCCAGGAACCTCAAATGATTGTATTATTTTGTCCAAAATTCCACTTCTATCACTTGGATCGATGAACAGAAGTTGATCTTTTTTGTAAAGTTGGTCGTTTTTGCTGGGGCTATGAACTCTCAGTAAGCTTCTATGGATCTTGACTATATTTGAGAAATGATAATCTGATACAATATTGGTTATTTGATTTTCACCAAAGGCATATAATTCTTTGAAGTCTATTTCAAAAGAATCTAGTTTTTCCAGGTAATCCTGACGTCGCGAGTCGTACAAAAAAGCTATAACGTGCGACTTTCTGATACGTCTTTCTTTTTGCAGTTTTCCCTGAAAGAATTCGTCTATTCTCTCTTTGAAATGAAGTTTAGAAAATTTCAAACCAAAAATTTTCTGTGCTTCTTCTAGTTTATCTATGATACCGTCTTCTATTGCTGAATCGACGAAATGAAGAAATCTAAATTCCTCACAAAACTTCAGGGAATGATCATCAAATGCATTCAATATTTCTTGAATTTCTTTAATTTTTGAGCTTTTGAATTGATAAGATTTGTACTTTCCTGGTATTATAGTAATCTTCATGGGTTCAAGAAAATCACCATCCGAAGGTCCAATATTTGAGCATAATATCACCAATAGCTTCCGTTCGAATGAGTTACAGATTTTCATCTTATAGTAGTTGTAATATTCCGGAAGGAGGGTTTTCCAATCGAGTACCGGATCCTTTGATTTTTTCTTTTCTTTTTTATGTTTGCATTGTATCAAAATATCTATTCCACCATCTCCACTTTCGAAAACAACATCATCAAATTTTCCTGCATGCTTATTCTCTGTTGATAATTCCCATGTTTCATGTTGTAATGAAATGGCCTGTAGAGCGAGCAGTCTAAAAACCTTCAGCTGGTAGCCAATTCCACTGTATCCTCCGTCGTTATTGTCCATTTTTTTCTGTTGTTCTGAAAAAGGTACAGTATATTAGGTACATACAGTGTGCTACAATCTGAAATGATAACACGATATCAAAGACAATATTAGCTGTCAAAGTTCTTTGAGAGAAGCGAAGCGTAATTTATTTCCACAGCTTCAACACGATTTCCAATTACTAGAATTCATCAGAATTCAACAAATACAGAAAATATTTCTCCTTGCCATTATAAATTTGCGAGTTTATTGCGCCTGAACACTTCACAACCAATAATCATAATCACCATCATTTTACTTCAGGCCAAGAAATAGAGAACAATTGTGACAAAAAATAATATTTTGTAGAGAGATAACACCAGAAGAGCTGGGGAGAGTTGGAAGAGATATGAACAGTGTAGGTACAGAGAATGAAGGATATTTGATCGAGAATGAAGAAATCTGAACTTGTCAGGAATAATCGCTGATTTGTTCATTGTCTAATCTTCAGTTGTTATTTTTGGATAGATATGATGTGTTCAGTTTTTTCTCTTTCTTCTTGTTCCTCAATGAAGAATCTGAATTTCCATTGATTTTATCCGTTATTTATCTGATTCTGTAGCTATCAGAGGATCTGATCCTGAGAGCTAGTAGTGTGCTCGGTATTGTCCTTTTGTGTAATTATTTTCAAATCTGAATGTATTGCAACCTCAGTAATAAAATATTGGAAATTAGTGGAGCAAGTGGTGAAAAATTTAAAAGATGCAAAAACTAACTTAATTTCTTGATAAAGAATCAACATTTCCATTTATTCAATTCGTTATTTATCAAACTCTGTAACCAGAAGATCTACCTGACTACAATCATGCCAGGTATCATTTGAATTCTTATAAGAATAATCATACACGGTGACTTGAAAAATAAAAATTCAAAACGTTGATAAAAAAAAATCCCTCATATGGTATATTGTTTTCGAAATTGATATAGGAGAGTATGCGTGACTAGTCCAAATCGATTGCTTCAATCAAGTTTTATTGTAAAAAATACCTAATCTATCCTCTTTCGTTTTCGTTTTGCTGTAGTTTTTGTGAGTAGTGTTGTATGAGTAGGCTAAGAAATTGTGATTGATCTTTTTTTTTGCTCGACAAAGTAGATAGTTTTGGGTGATATATTATGAAAAAAAAAATGTAATCGATCTAGGATTACGAAAGTGTAAGGGTTTGGTGGACCAAATTGTAACACACTGAATAAAATATAGCCAGATCGCCAACTTTTCTACGGTGTCTCGGAGAAGTGAGTAAGTTTGTGAGCGAGGCATCACCCACGAGACGAATTGCCCTTTTTTGGACAGAATCCAAAAGTTTCAGAGTATGTTTGGGTGCTGCACTCCAAATATGGAAACAGTATTCCAGGACAGGTCGAAGCTGTACCTTATAGATCATAAACAGCTGACTGGAAGTAAAATAGCTCCTGGCCCGAAACAGGAAACCAAGTTTTTGGAATGCACTTTCAGCAATTGATCTCACGTGATTTTCTCAAGAAAGGTTATTGCTGATTGTAATTCCAAGCATCCAAATGGATGTCTTCAAAGGTATGGTTACTCCTGACGAGCGTATGTTGGGCACAGTGAGATCGGCTTTTCTAGAGAAAAGGCATGCTTGTGTTTTGTTTGCATTGAAATCTGCCAAGTTTCTGGATCTTCATTGGAGAATTGTTGCCAAATCCATATTTATGCAGTCAACATCTCTTCTTCGCTCGTTTCTGATTTGCCTGGCTGGAATTGGAGCCTTGGAAGAGAAGGCGGTATGGAGGGTACTGTCATTCGCGAAGCTGTGTACAGGACAAGAAGTTGCTTTCAACAAATCGTTGATATGGAGTAGAAATAGTCTTGGTGCTAGAACTAATCCTTGCGGAACACCAGCATTTATGATAAGAAAGTCAGATGAAACTTCGTCGACCACCACATGGAGAGGAAACTAGCTAGCAGAGAACATAGCTGGGAAGGCAAGCCATAAGATGGAAGCTTGCTCCTACTAAGCTATTATTGAATCCGTTAAGATGATCCCTGACTGATTATGTAATAAAATACAGGGTGTCCCGTTTGAGATTGAAAAGTTGGAGTCATTTCCGGTAATGGTCCATTATTGTGATTCAATTGATGCCTTCGCATTACATTGAAATGTCATATCAATGAATCATCATTCAACCATTTCTGTTCCAGTGATCTTTTGTGGTATATGTGCAAAATGATGCAATATTGAATCACATAAATCTATACAGAGTATAATATTGTTGCAGCACAATGGAAGTGCAACATAGGTATTCGTAAGTAAGGTGAATGCATTTTCAAAGTATCGTAGTGGCAGTTGCAATAGTGCCACACTCTGCTTATGTTGTTTTTAGGCAATGAAGCGACCAAATGTGTTATAGTTCGATCTCCATGAGTGGAAATCAGAAAGTTATTGAAATATTTCAATGGTCATTCATTTATAGACACCCTGTATTTCGTGACAAAAACAGCAATGAACCTGTACATGGTGATTGTTTATATTTCATTCAATAGCACTGTCAGTCAATACAGGTCTCACAAATTTAAAAGAGCAAATATGGAGTATTTTTTATGAACATTGAGAATTCAGAAAAAGAATATGCGAAAAAGCATCGTGAACCCAAGAAGTTTTCATAACATAAACTGGTACTTTATAAACGGATAACTCTGTATTTTATTTTCCTAATCGGTAGAGCTCGTTCTTCTGATTCCGTAAATAGGGTGTCCCAAATTTACGTCATCCTTTGGAGGGCTGATAGTCCAGCTCATTACTGACCAGAATATTAAATATGACCTTTGTAAAATATTGATACTTTTGGAGATATTGACACGTTCATGACTTTCGAAAAAATCGAAACCTTTGATCAGTATCTCGAGTGCCGCAGGAACAAAAATCAATTTTTTAAGATTTCAATTTTTGTTATGCAACCTGTGATAGCCCTTCTATCGATTACAATCCAAAATAAGAACATGTTTGCCCGATTCACTAGTGAATTTATTTCAATTAACCAACGTAGGTGATCCATAACTTACCAAAGAACTCAATATAACCACCTGGAAGGAAGACGGCCGTTCTCTCGAATAGCACAAAGTGTGTCAGAGGCAGCTGCAACAAAGATAGCATGATTTACGGTGACCTGCCTCTTTCCTACTCGTGTTGTTTAATGGTGGATTGGGGATTACGTTTTCTTTTATCTGATAATTAAAGTACTTTAGATTTTGTTCTCTCGTCTAAACAGGCAAGAAAGTCAAGACATAAGTTCATTGTCTTTGGTTATGTGAAATATCTATTCGATTGGCGAGTTTTGTTTCATCAAAAGGACTAAATTTGTTTGTGTGAACCCTGCATATACGTATTAAATAAACAATACGGATCATAACGGGTGCCAGGATGAAGCCAAAAATATGAAACAAATGAATATCCATAAGGATTTGGTGGCATGATACGCATGCGCCATGCGCTATTATAGTAGTCATCAAAGACATGCGTTTCGGTGGACAATGACGTTTACTAGCCTTTCAATCAAAGCAGTATTTGTCTGATCGTATCTCACTTTTCCTTATGGATAGTCATTTGTCTTCAAAAATCGGCTTCATGTTTCGCTATGGAAACAGATAGAGATTATCCGTATTGATTATTTATACGTATATGGAACACTGTGAATTGATTGTTGAGAAGGTTTGTGATTTCATCATGATAAAAAATGGTGAGTTATTGTGTCGCCTTCGGATGCAAGAAAATTGTCATTCCACGGGTAAGTTGAAAATTGTTCAGATTTTTGAAAAATATAGTTCTTGAAATGATCATCAGTAAGGTGTACAATATGTTCCTAGTCTCAGAATATGTTCAAAAACTATACCTATATTATTTGTCAATGTTGAATACTTCCATGACTTTTCCATAAACATATTAAGAAATATTATTTGTTGCAGTTTTCCATTCAGACATTCTTGAATTATGGATTAAGGCAGGTCATAGAGAGAATTGAACTCCATCTAAAACCAGCAAGCTTTGTGGAGAGCATTTCCTGTCAACTGATCATTTATTTGGACATACCAGGTACTGCTGGGTTATTGAATCCATCAGATGATGTACCCAGTATATCTTCATTCACATTCATTCACTAAGCATTTTGACCAAAAAATGCTGATCCTCGCAAGAAAATAAGAAAACTAGGAAAATAAGGAAACTCGTTAGGTATACCTAGTTGATTGATAATAATGAAAAAAGTATGTTTGCACCTCTTTGAAATAAAAAACTAGCTAATAATTTATTTTCTGCATCTGTGGACGTTTATAACTTGGGATCTAAGGAAGATGTTCCTCATATTATGGACTTTGATTTGCCTACGACTTCCAGCTCTCAAGTTTCGAAATAAATCAATGAAGAAACCCAAACTGTTCCATTGGGGAAGGATATTGTATTGAGAATTGTATTTCTTCAATTTTCAATAGAGGGATATGTTTGAAGGCAGTGACCTAATGGAAAAATAGGAACCTATGGAAATTATGCTCAAAATGGACCTTAGGTACTCAATACCATTCAAGAATCTCTTTTCAAATTGTTCCTATCTTTTTTTCTTCTTCTGATAGTGCTGAGACATTGTGCTTCGCTCACCCTGTACAATATATTGTAACATTTGACTGAAAATATATAATTTCAATTTCGTATTCATTAGACTTTTTGATTCTGTAAGAATAAAAATGAAATTTCATTTTCAAGTCAATAAAAAAATCAATAATAATTTTATAATGATAATTGATTGCAACATTATCCTTTTTCCTGAATGAATATTTATATTTAATCACGTTTACTCTTAAATAAAAGTAAAAAACGAGAAAATATTTCAAATAATGCGAGCGCTTCCCATTAGCCAATATAAGATAGAAAGAGATAGGTATCCGTAAACACTGCGGGTTGCCGGAACAATATTTTTCCCTCACTCGTCGTTAACAGAGGGTCCCTTCCAGTTGTTTTTATAGAGTTCATTGTAACTTACAGTGGTGGTGTTATAAATCAGGAGGGGTGAAAAAACTTACAGTCACAACTCCACCACATAAACAATTCAATAATGAACAACGGTCATATGGACATCATCAGCAAATTTATAAAAAGAAAATCGGTAAGATGAAACAACGCTTATGTTAGTTTCTGATGAGTATTGATAAAATTTTAAATGTGCCTACCATCATTGGTGGAAAGAGATTACTTAAATAACGTGAAAAAAACTATTTTTTCTGTGACGGGAAAAATGTTTGGCATTTCATCTCTGTTGGCAGGTTATAAAATGTCACTTTTCATAAATTTCTTTTTTTCCGTGGAAAAAAAGTGAGTTCTCTTTTCCCGGATATACAGGGTGTTTGGTAGCTGGGTGCAAACCTTGAAGGGGGTGATACACTAGCTCATGTAGAACATATTCATACAAACATTTTTATTTTCTAGCGCGTTTTTGATTTTTAAGGGAACTTTTGCGATTTTTAGTACAAATACCCAACATTTATCAATTAAATGCTAATAACTTCTAATCTTATCAGAAATGTCCGGTTTTGTTCATTTATTTTAGTAGTCTTATGTGTCCCCAATCGTACTAAAGTAGTCTGAAGCACCATTGTGTCCAAAAAAGTTATGTACAGAGCATTTAAACTTTACAAAAAAAGAAAGAAAATAAAAATTCTGACCTTTGATGCCAATTAAAAAAATAAATAAAATACATACAGGAGTTCAGACACTTTTAAAAACATGCGTAGTTATTGCTCTTTCGTTTGAGGTATCATTCATCTAGCTAAATCCTGAACTTTTTAAATTAGGGTACCTGAACCAGTTAAAGGTCGTAAATATAGATTTTTTTGGAATTGAAGAAAAAAATGTTTTGTACTGTAAAAATTTATTGTTGGTGTTCAAAATGTCCTCCACCATTGCGTATACATTTTCTACAACGATTTCGTACTTCAGTTGTGGTTACTTTCATTTGCATTTCCTGTTTCATAATTTCAAACGCTGCCTCTATTCGCTGAAGTAATTCTTCTCTCGTGGTGATTTCTGTTTTGTATAAGAGTTCTTTCACCCGACCCCACACAAAAAAAAATCCAACGGAGTCAGGTCGGGGGGTCTGGCAGGCCAGGGAATGGGTCCGTCTCTCCCGATCCAGTTGCCAGGAAAACAGTGGTTCAGGTGTTCGCGGACGCTTACAGCCCAATGTGCTGGGCATCCATCTTGCTGAAATGTGATCGGCCTGTCCATGTCCAATATTGGCACTTCGGCATCATAGCGAGTAACATTGGCAAGTCGTTTATCATGAATTCGAGGTAATTTTGTCTATTCAAATTGTCAGGCAAAATGTGTGGGCCAACCAATGTGCGTCCGATGACCCCAGCCCACACATTTATTGGAAATTTTCTTTGGAAAGGAATTTGAAACAAAAATGCAATAAAATTAGTTAATTTAGGTAATTGAACACGTGTTGAACATGGGTAATAAAATAATAATAATAAAAATCATTTATTTAGCTTGTTTGGCCAACCAAATCGACCCGGCGAGGGGTCCAAGATGATTACTCAACTCAGGTACCTAAAAATTGATAAACTCAGAAGCAACTTTATGGCCCCAGCAATAACGAAAGAATGCATTCCAATTAATGACTAACTTCAGGTCAAATTCTTTGTTGTAAAATGCCACCGCCACCGGTTGGGCTAAGTTTCTCATTATTCCATGTAAGTCTAAAAATAATATCGCATATTGCTTTAGGATTTCTGTTTAAAGGTTTTCGAGCTAAAATTCATTCAAATTACTTTTTTTTAAATCTTTCAAATATCTATATTTACAACCCTTAACTGGTTCAGGCACCCTAACTGAAAAAGTTTAGGACTTATCTAGATAAATGATACCTCAAACGAAAGAGCAATAACTACGCATGTTTTTAAAAGTGTCTGAAGACCTGTATGTATTTTATTTATTTTTTTAATTGGCATCAAAGGTCAGATTTTTTATTTTCTTTCTTTTTTTGTAAAGTTTAAATGCTCTGTACATAACTTTTTTTGACACAATGGTGCTTCAAACTACTTTAATACGATTGGGGACACATAAGACTACTAAAATAAATGAAAAAAACTGTACATTTCTGTTAAGATTCGAAGTTATTAGCATTTAATTGACCAATTTTGGGTTTTTGTACTAAAAATCGTAAAAGTTCCCTTAAAAATCAAAAACGCGCTAGAAAATGAAAATGTTTGTATGAATATGTTCTACATGGGCTAGTGTATCACCCCCTTCAAGGTTTGCACCCAGCTACCAAACACCCTGTATATCACATATATATACACTGTTGATGGCTTTTGTTGTGCTATAGTTCCGAAAAATGAGACAATAATACTGTCTCCGAGAAAGAACTGCAAGTCCTTTTATCTTCCATTCGACTTCGCGGTTACGTATATTACTAAACAACCACTAAATTTGCGATTTTTTGAAATCAAATCACAGAATTAGACTGACAGAAGTGACATCCGATATTTGATTACTTCAAAAGAATGATAAAGATGCCTACAACGCAGGTGTCCCTACTGTTAAAAAATTAAAATTGCACGTCGATAATTTTCAGATTTCAAAATAATGTAATATCTTCTCAATATTGATTCATCCTTTCTTCTGTCACAGAAAAAAATAATAAACGGAAAAAATATTAGATTTTAGCTCACGGTTTTTTGTCTGTCACAACCTGATGGAGCTAAAATCTACTACTTTTTTCCCTTGTATAATAAATTACTATTTTAACCGCGCATAGTGCGGGTGAGTAACTGTTAGGGAACATACATTATCACAGCTCTATAAGAGCTTAGTTTTCAAAAATAGTTTGATATGACTTGACTGATACAATCAAGAATGATTGACAAATTATTCGAAGAGCTATAAGAGATCTCCCCGAAAAGATGTAGAAAATGTATAGGAATTGGAGGAGGACATTTTGGGAATCTTCGTTGATGAATAATAAACAAACAAATCTCTTTCGGAAATTATTATTCATTATTTGCTGGATTTTTTATTGGAATATACCTTTTCTTGAGTCTGCTGCTAAATCATTAGGTGAAAAATTTGATTTGAATACTTTTAGT